GGACTTGGAACCTAGGGATTCTCAGAAAATGTTACTACCAAATTCCTGTTTAAATGGACCAGATATATTCTAGAATTGGCCCACTGCTTTGCTACAGGATTTAACAAAATTTTATTATAGTATTACCAGGAATGTAATCAATTTACTGATTGTAGAGCGATGTCATTCATGGTTTTCTTAAGGAGGGGCTGGCCAGAACTGGGACCCACAGGCCAAATACTGCCCACTCCCTATTTGTGCAAGTGAAGTTTTACTGGAACACAACCACACTCATTTGTGTCCATATTATCTGTGGCTGCTTTCATGCTACAATAGCAGAGTATAATAGTTGTAACAGAGACTGTATGCCTGCGAACCCTAGAAGAGTTACTATCTGGTTTTTCTACAGAAAAAGTTTGCTAACCCTCATTCTGAGGAATCTTTCAGTTAATCATACTTGATCAAATTATGCCTCATGAACGTCCTTAACACATGATTAGGTGACCACAAGAATGTGGCTTCTCCTGCATGGCCTTTCTTCTCAATCTGCCAGAGAAGAAATTTGTCTAGGTGGTTTCCAGCATCAGTCAATACTCTGACTCTCAGCCAATGAGTAATTTCCTTCATGAGGTTTTTGGGTTTGTTTTTTTTTTGAGTTTTTATGATTTTGTTTTATATTTAAAGACACATTTCTCTTTTTTTAATTGAAGTGTAGTTGACACACAATGTTACATTAGTTTCAGGTGTACAACATAGTGCTTTGACAAATTATATATTATGCTATGTTCACCACAAGTAGAGCTACCATACAACACATTACAATATACCATTGACTATATTCCCTGTGCTGTACCTCTCAGCCCAGCGACTTATTCAGTCCATTACTGAAAGCCTTTATTTCCCATTCCCCTTCACTCATCACTCATTTTGCCCATTCTCTACCCGCCCCCTCCTGGGGCAACCATCAGTTCGTTTCCATCATGAGGTTTGATTACTTCTGAATCTCTTATCTCTTATGAGATTGGAGAAGCATTGGCAAGGCCCATCAGGGGACTCAAATTCCAGCCTCCTCTTTGCCCCTAATTGGCTAAACCACTCGGTGCTTTACTTCTGTAAAATGAGGAGGGTGGACAGATGAGGATGAAGTTTCCTTAAAGCAGATAATTATGGTCCAGAGTGTGAAGTGCATCCTAGAAGGCCACACTGGCCGCTATGAAAGCCCAAGGAATGGTATCACACCAGGATTCACAGAGGAGAAGGGACTCAGAGAAGGCTTCCTGGAGGAAGTGATTCTGATCTGACTTTTGAAGAATAGGGAAGAATTTATGCGGCTGAAGAATGAACTGACCAATAAAGCAAAAATGCATCTTATGGAAGCCATCATTTTATTTGACTAGTTAGGAAATGTCATCTGTTTAAACATCTAAACCCCAGGAAAGATCTAAATTCAAGCCGACCCTAATGTGTGCATTGCACTGTGCTTCTGGATACACATCATGAAAAGTCACTCTGCAAGCAACTTTTCACAATATAATCTCCTTTTCTGTGAAAAGAGCTTTCTTTTCCTTCTCCAGCCTAATACCAAGGTCACATCCAAGTCTTGAAAAAGACATCAACTGCCACAGGCATGGGTGGTGTGACGATCATTGCATAGGACACAAAGCCTTCTTGGGAAAATGAGGATCAATCAGAGAGTGTGAGCAAAGGATCATTCCAGGGCTGTAGGCAAGGTCAACAAGAGATAAGATAACTCTGACTTCAAACAACTTTGGCAGTGTGGTTAGACAACGTGCTTACACAGCAATCATTCCCATTTGGCTAGACCATCCAAACATTCACAACAATAGATTCTGAAGGGAGGAGAATTATCTCAGTTGACGTAGCCATGCAATCTCAGCAGTGATTTCTAAGTAATCACTGGCTCTCCCACAATCCAACCGCTTGTACCAATGTCAGAGGCAGAATTCATTCATGCATTCAACAAATTTAGTGAGTTACCAACTATGCACCAGCACTTTTCTATACACTATGGACACAGCCATGAAGAGAGGAGACAAAAATCCTTGCCCTTGTGGAACTTAAATTCTTTGTACGGAGAAAAGCGCACGCAGAGTTTTAACTACTATCCAATAGGACACATTGCTGTTCTGAACAGTCCTGAAGGGACATTTTCCAAGAGTCTAAGCCACACCTGAGCCAGCCTTCCTCCTGATCCCTTGTCCTTTCATCTTAGTCTCTGTGTCACAAGCAATTTACTGAAGAAGGTGAGGTCAAGGCAGCCTGATGCTTCTTTCTTAATGTACCCTCATTATCAAGCCACAAGACTCCTAAAGCCTCAAAACAAAAATGTTCATAGGCTTTGAACCACTTCTGGGAATCTTGACTGAGAAAACACACCTAACTTCTGAAAAGATTTTAGGTTGCAAAAATGTGCATCACCACTTCAACCTAGCTTCCCCCTGCAAAATAAGGGGGCAAATTAAATGTCCAACTCTAAATTAATGGATAGATAAATTATTCTTTTTACATGAGATGAAATCCCATGCAGCCATTAAGATTATATTTACAAAGATTCCATGATAATGTAGGAAAACACTTATTATAAAATGTTAGGTAATCAAGCAGAACAAAACTATATATATTCAATATAACAAGCCTGTGTAAAAATCTGCTAAGAAAAATAAAAGCCTTGATGGAAATGTTCCAAAACATTAACCACTGATATACTTAGGTGTTAAAATTTTCTACTTTTGTATTTTCCTTTTTTTTCTTTAGTCAACATTTATTATTTTCAGAATTAAAAAATAATAATTTTAAGCCTAAATATAGTTTTTAAAAGGCAAGGACAAGGTGGCAAGAACAAGTACAGAACAGTTTATCATGGTAGCTAAAAGCCTGAGATCTGAATTCAGAACCCTGGGTCTGAACCATGGCTCCCCAAGTTACTGTGTGACCTTGGGCAGATTATTTAACGTTCCCTCCCCCCTACTTTCTCACCTGCAAAATGGGGGTAAAAATAGTGCCTATGAGAATTGGTAGATAATTCATGAAGAGTGTTGAGCACCTCATAAGCCCTCAAAATAACAGATCCAATACTCCACTGGCCTCAAAAAAAAAGAGTTCACACAGAGGGGAAGGTGGGACATCTTCACGTCTCAGGAACAACTAACTCAGAACTGTGTTTTCAGTGGGCAATTATGCCCTCAGTCAGCATCAATCCCCAAATCCTTGACTTTTAAATTTTCCCCTGAAGATGGACAGTATGTTGATACTCATTTTATGGGTAATTATTTCCTTGGGTTTGTTTTTTTTTAATGTACTGGTCATCATTTATTGTGCACAGTGACTTTAATTTTAAAAACAAGTCTGAAAATTATGTTAATAGGACCATCGGAAAATACTACACATTACTTTAAGATGAAATGACCTCATAAAAATACTGTTTATGGTGCTGACAGTTGTTAATTTGAAGATAAAAGTAACTGTCTGATAGAATCATATTTTTTTGTCAAATGTTGGTTCCAAAAACAGTGAAATGAAAAGCTAGCCTCTTAACTCCTGCACCCAATATTTTTTTTCTGTACAAATTAAACCACTTAAATCTGGGTAAGATAATGTGGTCATTAATTAAGCCTGCACCTTGTCCGCAACAGACTTTTAGTAAATATTTGCAGAAGGGACACCCATTTCTGAAATTTTAGTTCTTATTGCTTACCAATACTCATCTTTTTAAAAGAATGAGAATTCAGTTCAGATTGCATAAATATGAAATATTGACCAATAAAGAAGATCCAGAGGATTAGACAGATTAAAATTTGTTTCTCTACAAATGAAATGAGGCATCCTTATGAAAAAGAATTGTGCCTTTCAGCTTCCAGCATTCTTTTCCCTAATTTCCAATCTAGATTTCCGTCGTCTTTTGACCCTAGGAATTCTCTACTCAAAATAAGGCTGAGCTTCTGTCCGTTCTTGACTTGGTTTGGCAACTTTTCTCTGTCACAGACTCTCCTTGCATGGGGTTTCTGCCCGCTGAACGCGGTGAAAACGCCCTGAACGGTGGTGTTCCATGGGTTTAGGTTTGAATCTGGCTGGGCACTAGCTGCAGCATCTTCCGTTAGTCACTGACCCTCACTCAGCCTCGGTTTCTTTGTCTATAAAGCGGGCATCATAAACACAGATCTCACAAGGTCACAGTGGGGCTCCGAGAGACGACTGACTGGGCACGACAAGCAACTCACTCAGGTGCTCTTCCCCTCCCCTGGGAGTCTTTTTTTAGGGTCTGTAGTCATTGTCCGAAAGCCTTTGATTTCTTTCCAGGCTTTCCTTAGACCAGAAGGGTAAGCTGTCCTGAATTTGGGACTCTTCATTTAGAAGAGCATTTGAGCTCTACATTAACTTCGACTCCGTCAACGGGACAGGTAGAGGAGCTGGTGGCGAGTGCGGCCCCCTTTGAGGGGAAGAGTGCTGAGAAGTGGGGTTCTCGCTCAGGCCAGTGGGTCCCCATCCTGTTCTCTCTCCCACGGGGGAAGTCCCGCTCGGGCTCTGCCCACCTCCCTCCGACCCGCAAAGATTAAGTTATCGGCCCCTCTGAGCCGGGGGTCCTTCGGGAGATGCCCACACGTAGACTCACTCCGGATCCCAGAACCAGCCTGCCCCCATCCTGCAAGGGAAAGGAGAAGGGAGATGGAAAGGGAGAAGGGGGGCGAGCCGCCACAGGTGAGGCGGCCAGCGCGCAGTTGCGGAGGGAACCTTGCAGGCTCGCCTCCCTCCCGTTCGCCTCCTTCCCCGCAGCAGCCAGAGGATTTGGAGCCAGCCGGAGAGGCGTGCGGGGCCGGGAAAGTGCCGGAGGCGTCTGCCCCGCGACGGCTTCTCGCCTTGGCCGGCGTCCCGCCCGCAGCCCGGGCCCGCCGGGGGCTCCCCTCGAGCACGGCTCCGCGCTCCGCTCGGCGTTCCCGGGTGCGCCGCGCTCCTGGACGCCCGGAGCCTGGCCGGGCGCCGCGCCCGCAGCGGGCAAACGCTACCTGTGGAAGTAATGTGCGCAGAAGAGGCCCAGGAGCACCGTCGCCGGCTGGCCGAAGAGCGAGCGCGGCTGCCGGACGAGGATCCCCGCGGGCACCGCGAAGGAGGGCAGCTCCTGCAGGAACCAGGCGGCGCGCGCGGACAGGCGGGTGGCGGCGGGCATCAGGCTCTCCGAGTACTTCCCGTAGCCGGAGGGCTTCGCGAGGTACAGGACCAGTGCCCCCAGAGCGGCCAAAGTGGCGCTGCCTGCCAGCACCGGGCTCTGCTGGCAGGGAACGGGCATCGCGCCGTGCTCCCCGCCGGTGGCCGCCGCTCGCGCATAGGAGAGCGCGGTCTCCACGGCCCCTTTATGGGGCGCGAGACCCCACCCTGCGTCCGCCCCTTCGGCCTTGGCTCCCGCCCTTCCATCCTGCTTTCGGCTCGGCGCGGCCAGCCCTGGTTCGGCTCAGCATCAATGCCCCTTTCGCCCGGCTGGCGCTTGGGGTGGCAGCCGGGGCGGAGGGGAGGACCCAGGGGCCAAAATTGTCCTGCCCCCACCCCCCCGCTCCGCCTGGCACTAGGCCACATCTGCGCCTCCGCCGACGCGCCCACCCTCTCCACCGCCTGCTGGTGGTCTTCCCTTTGCCCTTCAAAGACCTGTTCCTCACCGTGCATCGCCCTCTGATGCTGCAGCTTCTAGGACTAGGAAATCAGGAGAGAAAAACCACAGGGACGATTTAGCCGGGGTAGTTTTCTCGCCCCCAACACACCCCTGGGCCGCCGCCACGCAGCCTCCACCCTCAGACCACCCCAGGCCTGGATCTCTCCAGTCCCTCCGCTTCCCGACGCTCCTTCACTCCGCGTCCGCTCCCATCCAGCCCTGCATCCTTCTTACGACCTTGGGCCGGGCATCCAAGGCACTTCCCGCGCCCGCCAGCCCTTCTGCCTGGGGGCTCGGTGCGCCTTCTCCCTCTCAGCCAGTGCCCCCCCTACCCCACCACGTCCCCAGGACCCTCATTCCTCCGCCGTTTCTCTCTGCTTTGCTGGCTGCGCCCCTGGGCCTCCGGCCTCTGTCAAACAGGCGCATCCCCAACGCGCGGACGCACAAGCAAGGGTTGCGGCCAGGAGCGGTGATCCAGTCTGAGGCCTCGCCTCTCCTCCACCACCGGACCCCCGGAGCCGGCCTGGACCCGGGCTAAAGTCTACGGTTTCTGCCGCGGGAGCCCTCTCCCTACTCTTGGAGCGGATGAGTCGGCTTCCACATGGTGGTGGTACTGGGGATGCTACTGAGCTCTGAACAGTCGGACGTGGTTCTTCCTTCTATTTTCCACCCTCCTCTCATCCTTCACCCGCTCGTTCATTATCTATTTCTTCTTCCCTTCTCTGGTTGAGTGTCCAGACCTCCTTAGCTGCCCTCCTCCGAAGTTGTGTGCACGTTTTAATCTCTTCGTCTTTCTTTGACCTGGCTTCCTCCTCCAGGCTGACCTTCTCTTCCCAAGTGCTGCCTACATCAGTCTTCCATCTTCATGTCCCGCCTCTAATAGGGAGTACTTTATCCCTATTAATTTTCTTCTCTGGTCCCTACTTCAGGCTCCACCCCAGCCTTCCTCCGCACCTTTCCTTGGCTCTTTCTTCATCCTCTCTCTTAGTGCCAACTCACTGCCTCAGGAGCCCCACTCAGTATCCCTCCATCCAGTCCTGCTCTGTCCTATGGGCTGTTCCAGTGAAAGGCACACTGTCCCATCTGCCTAGTTTGAGGCTGTTTCCTTATACTTGGGACGCTTTCCAAATTTGATGAGAACCCCATCTTATAGATCTAAGAACTTTGGTAAACCCAAGCAAGATGAACACACACGCCCAGCACACTCAGCAATCGACTTGCTGAGAACCAGTGATAAGGAGGAAAATCTTTAAAGCAGCCAGAAAAAAGAAAAAAGGGAAAAAAAAAAAAAAGACCGAGAGGGACAAAGGTAATAAGTACAACAGATTTCTCAGACACTATGCAAGCCAGAAGAAAATGGGATGGTACATGTGAAGTGCTGAAAGAAAAAAAATTTCAACCAAGAATTTCACATCTAGGGCCCCTGGGTGGCTCAGTCGGTTAAGAGGCTGCCTTTGGCTCAGATCATGATCCCAGGGTTCTGGGATCGAGCCCCACATTGGGCTCCCTGCTCAGCGGGAAGCCTGCTTCACCCTCTCCCACTCCCCCTGCTTGTGTTCCTTCTCTCGCTGTGTCTCTTTCTGTCAAATAAATAAATAAAAGCTTTTTTTTTAAGCTATTTTTTTAAAAAAGAATAACTACTATGGATAAGGTTGAATGTTAACTAGATTTATTGTGGTGATCATTTCACAATACATACAAACATTGGATCATTATGTTGTACTCCCAAAACTAATATAATTTTATATGTAAATTATACCTCAATTTAAAAAAAGAATAATTACAAATTCAACAGTAAAATTAAAATAAGAATATAAAAGGATAATCAAATAATCAAAAGGAGGCAACAGGAAGAGAATAACAAAAACAAAACACAGAAGAGCTAAATGGTTGTAACAGCTTGGAAAGGAAGAAGTGAAACTATATCTTCACAAATGACATGATCTTATATGTAAAACTCTAAGGAATCTACTAAAAAGCTTTTAGCACAAATAAGCGAGTGCACCAAGGTTACAAGATACAGGATCAATATACAAATATCAACTGAAACTAGCAATAAGAATCTGAAATGAAATTACAAAAACAATCCATTTACGATAGCACCAAAAAACCCAAAATACTTAGGGAAAACAAAGGAATGAGACTTAAACACTAAAAACTGGGGTGCCTGGGTGGTTCAGTCATTAAGCATCTGTCTTCGGCTCAGGTCATGATCCCAGAGTCCCGGGATCGAGCCTCGTGTTGGGCTCCCTGCTCAGCGGGGAGTCTGCTTCTCCCTCTCCCACTCCCCCTGCTTGTGCTCCCTCTCTCGCTGTATCTCTCTCTCTCAAATAAATAAATAAAATCTTTTTTAAAAAGTTAAAACAAAACACTGAAAACTATAAAACATTGTTGAAAGAAATTAAAGAACACAAATAAATGGAAAGATATCCTATGTTCATGGATTGGAAGCCTTAATATTGTTAAGATGTCCCTGGGGCGCCTGGGTGGCTCAGTCAGTTAAGTATCTGCCTTCGGCTCAGGTCATGATCCCAGGGTCCTGGGATGGAGCCCCGCATCGGGCTCCCTGCTCAGTGGAGAGCCTGCTTCTCCCTCTCCCTCTGCTCACACTCTCTCTCACTCTCTTTCTCTCTCTCAAATAAATAAATGAAATCTTAAAAAAAAAAAGATGTCATATTCCCTGCTATAGACTGAATTGTGTTCCCCTAAAATTTGTATATTGAAGCCCTAACTCCGAATGTGACTGTATCTGTACCTGAATATATGGTTTTTAGGAGGTAATTAAGGTCAAATGTGGTCATAAGGATGGGGCTCTAATCAGATGAAAGACTATGGCTTTATGATACGAAAAAGATCTCTCTCTCTTTCTCTTTCTCTCTCTCTCTCTCAGTCTCTCTCTCTCCTATGTGAAGAAACAGTGAGAAGGCAGCTATCTGTGGCCCAAGGAGAGAACTCTCACCACACACCAACCTTGCTAGTACTCTGATCTTGGACTTCTATTCTCCAGAATTGTCACAATAAATTTAAGTTTATTGTCACCCAGTCTATGGTATTTTATTATGGCAGGCTGAGCAGACTAAGACACTCCAAACTGGTCTATGTATTCAATTCAATTCCTATCAAAATCCCAGCTGACTTTTCAGAAATGGAAAAGCTGATCCTCACATTCATATGCAAATGCAAGGGGCCAAGAATAGACAAAGCAATCTTTTAAAAGAAGAAAAAATTGAAGGACTTCTACATCCTGATTTCCAAACTTACTACAAAGAAACAATAACCAAGACAGTGTGGTACCAGCATAAAAATAGATATATAGATCGATGGAATAGAATTTAGAGTCCAGATATAAATTCACACATCTATGGTAAACTGATTTTCTATAAGAGTGACAAGATCATTCAATGGGGAAAGAATAGCCTTTTCAAAAAACATTGCTGATATAAATAAAAAGCCCCATGCAAAAGAATGAAATTGGACCCCTAATTCACACCATATACAAAAACTAATTCAAAATAGATCAAGCACATAAATGTGGGTTAAAACTATAAAACTCTTAGAAGAAAATAGAGGTATGAACACGATCTTAAATTAGGCATGGTTTCTTAGATATAACACAAAGCACTAGTAACAAAAGGGAAAAAAGATCAATTTGGCTTAAGACTAAAAACTTTTCTGCAAGTAATACTATCAAGAAAGTGAAAAGTCACTTATGCTGTGCATTAGATCTCCAGAACTTACTAAACTACTAGTTGCAACTTCGTACATTTTAACACCATCTCCCCAATTCTACCAACTTCCAGCCCCTGGTAACCACAATTCTACTCTTTGTTCCTGAGTTTGGCCTTTTTACACTGCACATATAACTAATGTCATATGACATTTGTCTTTCTCTGTCTGGCTTATCTCACTTAGCATAATATCTTTAAGGTCCAACCATGTCGTCACACACGTCAGGATTTCCTTCTTTCTCATAGCAGAATAATATTCCATCATTATCACATCCTTGCTATCCATTCATCCATTGATGAACACTTAGGTTGTTTTCATATCTTGGCTATTGTAAATGATGCTGTAATAAACATGGGAGTGCAGATAATCTTCTTGATATCCTGTTTCCATTTCCTTTGACTAGATACCCAGAAGTAGGATTGCTGGATCATATGGTAGTTCTATTTTTAATTTTTTGAGGAAGCTCCATCCTGTTTCCCACTAGTGGTTGAATTAATTTATATTCCCACCAATAGTACATGGGATTTCCTTTTTTCTCCACAAACTCACCGACACTTGTTATCGCTTGTCTTCTTGATGATAGCCATTCTAATGAGATGATATCGTATTGTGGTTTTGATATGAATTCCCCTGATTAGCAATATTGAGCATCTTTTCGTGTACTATTAGCCATTTGTATGTCTTCTTTGGGAAAATGTCTATTCAGTTCCTTTGCCCATTTTTTAACCAGACTTTTGTTATTAAGTTGTATGGGTTCTTTATATATTTTGGACATTAACCCTTATCTGACATAGGGTTTGCAAATATTTCCTTCCATTCCACAGGCTGCCTTCATTTTGTTGATTGCTTCTTTTGCTGTGTAGTAGCTAATTTTAAGTTTGGTGTAGTCCCACTCGTTTATTTTTCTTTTGTTG